TTGTTCCTTCTCGTCATTTTGTGTAGCACTGTCTTCTGCCCTTTGTTGTAGATCTTTGCTGTAGTTATAACCTTCACACGTACCGAAGTTCAGGTAGAGCTCTACAGAGTTTGGACTTATCCAGCTGCATCTGGCTTAGGTCTGCCTGCTGTGCTGAGGTCCTCTCACTAGGGACCTGGGATAGGACTGGGTCTGGGCGTTCCTGGCACTCGGCAGAAATTCCTGGGCTAGGACTGGGTCTGGGGGTTCCCGGAAGTCGGCAGAATTTCCTACTCTGTGGGAGGGGTGGGGAGGTACGGCGGAGCGGTGGGGGACGGCCCGAGGGTGTGGGAGAAGGTCCGGCCCACGCTGCACCTGGACTGGGACTCTGTAGCATTCATTCTTGATAAAACCCTATAACAAATTGGTCTTCCTCTCAATCTGTTACAGGCCATCTATGACAAACAACAGCCAACATCATACTAAATGGACAAAAACTGAAAACTTTCTCTCTAAAATCAGGCACAGTGCCTGCTTTGGCAGCACATATACTAAAATTGAAATGATATAGAGAAGATTATCAAGGTCCTTAAGCATGGATAAAATCAGGCACAAGACAAGGATGTCCACTGTAATCATTTGTATTCAATACATTCTGAAAACATTAACAAAAGCAATTAGATAAGAGAGAGAAATAAAAGGAATAAGGATGGGAAAGGAAGAAGTTAAACTATCATTATTTATAGACGACATGGTATTCTAAATAGAAGATCCCCAAAACTCCACCAAAAGACTTTTAGATTTGATAATCAAATTCACAAGTCTAGCTGGATACAAAGTCAACACTCAAGAATTAATAGCATTCCTGTGCACAAGTAACAAACTTACTAAGAGAGAAATTAGGGAAATCACACCTTTCATGACAGCATAAATAATGAAATACCTAGGAATCAATTTAACACAGGGAATAAAAGACCTTAACATTGAAAAGTATAATAAGTAAAAAAGAAATTGTAAGGATGTAAAAAAATGGAAAGACATCTCTTGTTCATGGGCAAGTACAGTGAAACTAGCCATACTTCCAAAATTGTTATGCAGATTTAATGCACTCCTGATCAAAATAGCAACAGCATACCTGACAGAATTGAAGAAAATGATTCTACAATTCATTTGGAACCATAAGAGACCTAGAATACCAAAAGTAATTCTGGGTAACAAAGGCAAGGCAGGGGGCATCACAACTTCTGACTTGAAATTATAAAACAAACTCACTGTAATTTTTTTTTAAAAAATCAGCATAGTACTGGAAAAAAGAGACTTGAAAGTCAATGGAACAGATCAGAAGATGCAGAAACAACTTTGATTACATTCAGCCACCTTATCTTTGACAAAGGGGCTAAACACATTCACTGGAAGAAAGGGCCTCTTTAATAAATGATGTCAGGAAAAGTGGCTTTCCACATGCTGAAGACTAAAAGTAGATCCATGTCTATCACCATGCATTAAACTCAAATCAAAATAGATCAAAGATCTAAATATTCAAACAGAAACACCAAAGCTTCTGGAAGACAGAATATACAGACTTTGGAAGATATAGGTGGGAGCAACGACTTTATGAACAAAGCCTTGATCACACAGGAAATAGTACAAAGAATCAACTTGAATCTCCTCTTACTAAAAAGCACAGCAAAAGAAATCACCAACAGAGTAAGAAACAACCCACAGAGTGGGAAAATATTTTTGCTACTGTTTCTCAGACAAAGGACTAAGATCTAGAATATATGAAAAACTAAAAAATAAACCAGAACTCTCAAATTTCAAGACCTATTCCAAAAATATGAATTTGAAATGAATAGACACTTCTCAGAGGAAGAAGTAGAAATGGTAAATAAATATATGAAAAAAATGTTCAACATCACTAGTCATTCAAGATATGCAACTTAAACATGCCTCATCATGGAGATTCCATGTCACTCCAGAGAAAAATATCAATTATCAAGAGATCAAACAATAACAAATGCTGGGGGAACTGGGAGGAGAGTAATGAACCTTTTCCATTGATGGTGGAAGTGCAGCCTGATACAACCACTGTGGAAATCAACATGCATGAAGATTCTTCAGATAAGTAAGGGTCAATTCAACACAGCTATTCCCCTTCTAATTAACATCTCAAAAGATTTAAAAGCATCAATCCACAACAATATATGCAACTAATGTTTATAGGAGCACAGTTTGTGATAGCTAAATTTTGTAAACAATTCAAATGTCCATCGATCAATGAATGGATTAAAAAAATGTGATGTTTTTTATACAACAAGGTACTACTCTGCCATAAAGGATAAACTTGAGACACTTCTAAGTAAATGGATGTACCTTGAAGCCCTTTTCTTAAGTGAAATCAATCAGACACACATATTTAAATATCATACTGTTTTTCTGGTGTGAGAAACAGAAAGGGTAAACAAGGACCAAAATATATAATAAATATTGGGAAACAGGAAGGGGAACAAGAAAGGGGCTAGTGAGGAAAGGAAGGAAAGGATGGAAGTAAATAGAAGGAAAAATAGAAACAAAGCCTTGGTATATAAAGTGAAGAACAGCGACTGAAGGAAGGAGAGGGTATTGAGAAGAAAAGAAGAATCAAGATGTTTTATGTACAGGTGTAAATTCCCTATGATGCATGTGATCATTGTGTATCTCTAAAATGTACCAATAAAATTAATTTTGAAAATAAGTGGCAGTATATCATCCAAGTTTGGCATAACTAGAGAACTCTCTGCAGACTATTGGACTGAAACAGACACTGGCACACACAGAAGGGTCCCCATGGAGAGAACAAACACCTTGCTCAAGACAAAGTCACTTTCGAGAAAATTGTCACTCAAAGAATGAATTGTATGAGTCCTCATGTGTTTTCAGAAAAGGGCAAAGGAACCAAAACAATCCCACTGGTTCCTGGGGCTTTCCTCTGGCCATCCAGCCTTCCCCTAGATTGGCTCAAACTGGTTCTGAGCCACCAACCCCCATACTCAATCACTTTCATCTATTTACATAAATATAGAATCATCCTATTTATTTCTTTTCTTTTTGAAATTATTTGAAAATGTTATCAAACTGCAGAGTAAGAAACAATTCTCATTATTCTACTATAAGTTAAACTCTCCTTAGATGTCCAACCCCATAGAGATGATTTATGAAATAATGAAGTATTATTCTAATTTTCCTTACTATATAAATACATATAAACTAACAAAAACAAAAAAGAAACAATATAAAATTGAACTCCAACTTATTTTGTATTTCCTATGTCTATATATTTTTCCGGAAAATACTGTAGTTCCTCTCTTTTTAGATAAATGCATATCAAATGATTCATATAGTCATTAAGTCAATGATAATTATGAACCCTTGCTTGTCTGTGCTGTGCTATTACCTATCATACTTCAGTCCCCATCATGCAAGTGGGTCTCTGCCATACCAATAGAATGAAATGAGAAGGACACTAATATACTGATCAAATGAATACTTCATCCCCGTCCTCTCAACCATTCATTGGCATTAAACACGGATGAGAGGCCAGGGAGATAGCTCAGTAGAATAAGTGCTTGCCTGGCAAGTGCAAGGTACCGCAATCCCTGGTACCGCAAAAAAGGAAAAAAAAAAAAAAACCATGGATGAATGTCCCACCTTTGACAACTTTCTTCTCTTGGTTTCTATGTGAACACACATCTTTTTACTTTCTCCCTACCCACAACCACTATGTTTCCAGCTGATGGCCCTACTGGGAGGTGATGGAACTTTTAAGAGGGAGGACATTGTTGGAGCAAGTTAGGCCCATTGGAAGAGTGCTATTGAAGGGAAAATTGGGATCCCAGTCCCTTTCTCTTTCTCTCTCGGATTCCTGGCTGCCATGAGGTGAGCAGCCTCCTCCACCACATGTTCCTTGCCACAGACTCAAAAGCAACAGAGCTAGCTTAACATGAACTTTGAAACTGTATCAAAACCAGTCTTTTCTCCTTTAAGTTGACTTCTCTCAAGTATTTTATAACAGTAGAAGAAATCTAGTGAAAGAGCTAGTGCAGGGTTCATGAGGAAGTGCATACTGTCATGATCATAGCAAGAAGGCTGATATGCCAGAAGTTAGTAAGGTGGATGGGGCCGGAAGAGAAGAAACCACAGTTTGTGGGAGAGAGAATTCTTTTCTTCTCAATCACTGCCCTCACTGCTGAAAAACAATTCCTGACACCAGCAGCTTAAATAAAGAAAGGTTCATTTTGACTTATATTTCAGCCCATAGTCAACTTGCTATGAGATGGAATGGCATGGAAGAGGGGCATGGAGGAGGACAATTGCTCATGACATGCATACAGGAATCAGAGAGCACTAAAGGAAGAGCTGAGAAGGGAGATAGACCTTTACAGGCCACAGCTAGGGTGTGCTGCCTTTTCTGACCAAAGCCTGCCTCCAAGCAACAAGTAGATATACATGTCCCATGATCAATAACCTTTCAAAAGCTCTGACCCAAGAGCACAAGAAGCTTTGGGGAACCATTTAGATCTAAATCATAACAGTTCTTCAGATTGCAGGGTCAACCATGTGAATGACCTGTTGTAGGACAATGGAGTCTGAGCAGTGCTAAACAGTGGTAGGAATCAAGCTGGGATGTATAGGACTTGCTCAAGGATCAAGCTGTGGAATAAAAGAGAAAGAGAGGAGTCCCTTATCTCTTCTGCTCATTATGGGATGTGGAAGGGGCCTACACCTCTCTTCTCCTCCTATGCATCTTCTAAATGTGGTTCTATTTCACCTTAGGCTTTGTATACCACCAGAGTTCTGATGAAGCCAAATTGCTCTCCAAATACCTTCTTGCAAGTGCCATTTAGACACCCAATGGTCTACTACAGAAGTAACATACTCAGGGGCCAGGGAGATAGCTCAATGTCATAAGTGCCTGCCTGGAAAGCATAAGGTCTCGAGTTCTATCCCAGGTACCACAAAACAAACAACAACAACAAAAAAGCAAATGTGAGAAATAACATACTCTAACAGAATTTTTGATAACCCTACCCAGAAGCCTCCTCCCACAGCCTTCCCACATCTTAATGAGAAAGCACTGTATAAATGCTTAGAAACACAGGACTGTACACCCAGCCTACCCTTGTTGAGATCCTGAATGCAGCTCCCAAATTCCTATCTTGAATCCTGATGTATAAGGGGATGATACTGGAAGCTAACACCTTTTGAAGATAATTAGGTCATGAGAAAAGATTATCATGTATAAGATTCATGCCCTTGTAAAGAGAGCCTAGAAATCTCATTTCCTCATCATCATCCTAAGAAGAGGCAGTAAGCAGGCACCATTTATGGTATTTTGATATAAGAGCCCAAATAGAAAAAGACACTACATCATGTGGTGGTTGTGAGGATTCAATTATTTAAAACTTTCATAAGATGTGGTATTATATAATGGAGTATTACTCAGCTATAAAAAAGATAAGCTCAATACTTTTATAGGTAAATGGATGCAAGTAGAGACCATACTCATAAGTGAAATAAATAGGACCCACACATGTAAACATCGCATTTTATCACTAGTGTTAGAACTTGAAAGAGTAAATAGGATCTGAAATGTGTA